GAGAGAGAGAGAGAGAGAGAGAGAGAGAGAGACAGAGAGAGGGAGAGAGGGAGGCAAGAAGGGAGTGGAGCATGTGAGAAAAGAGCACCAGCGCGGAGGCAGAAGAATGATACCATTTCTTCTTTTGTTTTGGCCTGGGATGAAAAACACTGTCCTCATCGCTGTTTCCCTCAGTTGAAGAGGCAAGGACACTGCTGGCAGTTTCTGCAAGAGTGGGAGAAACACAGAAGGGGAAATAGCCCCTTGCCTCTCCTGAAGGGAAGACAGCCAGCCTTCAGCCTGCCCCCCCGAACACCTGTCCCCCTTTCCTCCTGTGCATCAGAACCCCAGATTTTATCCGAGTGTGTTACTGCCCAACACAGAGACTTCACCTTCCACCTGCCCTGCAGAGCGGGGCCTTCATCTGTAAGTTAGGGTTTTATTCCACAGAGAGAGGCGTTAGCTGTTCTCATGAGTATCGAGGACGCAAAGAGTAGAAAAGTCTACTTGTCCTGAATGATCCACCTCAGCAGGATGCAATGGAGTGGCTGACAGCCCACATTTTCTTGTTCCTGCCGCCCCTTGATAGGCCTGAGTGAGCGTAGCCCATGGCTAGGATGAGAGGTGCAAGAGCCCTCTGCACTGTCCCTCCCCTAGCACCGCCCTTGTGCTGGGCTTCCTGTCCTTCAGGGTCCTGTGACTCTACAGTGTGTGTCTCTCACTCTTGATGCTCAGCAGTGCACTTCCTAGGTGCAGAGAGGTCAGGGATGGGGTGGAGCAGGCTTCTGTTACTTCTCCTGCTCCTGTCACCCCAAACCCTGCTGGTCCCTATCCATAGTCCAGTCAGCCTTTTTTCAAACGATATGTTTCCATCACCAACAGCAAAAGACTAGGACAAAACCCAAGCCTTCAGTCATCCACAATGGAGAATCCAGATTTTAGAGACAGTTGCTCATCCTTCCCAAAACAGAGTCACCTAGGGCTGGCATGGTCCCAGAAGACACTTGCAGTGTAGGGAACATCCCAGCTGAACTTGGGGGATGATGCACTATCTATCCATAGATACAGAATGTTTGAAAACTGGGGCACATTTCCTGCACTGTGGGCCATCTCTGAGCAAGGCATGCTGCAAAGCAAGGCATGTTAATCCCCCTCTAAGAAATCCATGACAGAATCCAGAACTAGCTGCATTTTATGAAGGTGAAATACAGCAGCACTGACACCAACTTTCCTGAGGTTCAGCTGATTTGGGCTCAGACATTTGGTCCAGGGCACCCACTCCTAAGTGCTGCTCTCAGAGGCTTGCATCTGTGGTTTTGAGGGACCATCCCTGGTCTCACAGCTCCTGCTGGCTCTGGGCCCCAGGTGGCATCAGTCCACTAAGGTGGCTGCCTACAAGAAGAGAGGGGTCAGGAGACATTGACTCTTGACCTTGGACTTCAGTCTCTAGAGCTGTAAGAAAATAAGTATCTGCCAGGTAAGCTGCCTCATCAGTGTTAGACAGCCAGGGCAAATGAATGTACACACATCCTTTTAACTGTGCCCTCCTCCACTGTCTACCCCTACCGCATCTGTCTGGCAGAAGCCTGTGTGGCAGTGCACTTGTGGGCATCTCTTCCCAACTGGCGCTCGGTGCCAGCAGGCAGGTAGCTTAAAACCCACCATGTAGGGACAGTTACACCATGGAAGTTGGCCAACTCTATGAGCCAGAGCTTCTCTCCCAGAAAACCAGATATTCACCATTTCTCAGCACACCACTGCCTTGCAGGTGCCAAGGCGAAGACAGTGGGAAGGAGGGAGTGGTGAGAGAGAAGTTCGGGAAGGGTTTGGCTGTTTCTTTCACTCACTGGCAGCCAGTTGACTGCCAACATCCAGTCTTCATTGTTGGGAGTCATTCTACATAATTTTGGAGGGGGAAATCGTTTCACAATTAAATTATGATTAGGGCTGTCTGAGGCCTCAATAGTCCTATGATGCTCAAGGGCAAGACTACATCAGCTGAAGACTTCCTGGGTCTTTGAGAACCAAGTAGAAAGGTTTCACTTGGAGAGGGACAAATTCCTTATCAGCTTAATGCATCCCATCTCATTCTCCTAATCAATGTAAGCTTCTCATCAATCTAAGATCCCCATCAGCATAAGATCCTCAGCATCACAGGATTATTGCCACCCTTCGGGTCATCTGATACTTCCTCCAATTATAAGATCCTTGTCAGTTTAGGATTACCTCCACCCTCTGAGTCATCTGATACTACCTATGAACCCAATAAATAGTGGCAAGCTCAGGGTGTCTTTGTCTTTGCTGCCCAGAGCAGCACTGATCAGGCCTGAAGCTCAGCTTTTTCTCTAAGTCTGGTTTCCTGTCTTTATTCCTTAATTTACTTTGTGTTGTAGTGGCTCACAGGAGACCAGGACTCACTCAGGGGTTCTGGTAACGTTCCCTTTCCTGTTTCCTACAATTCATCTCCAGTTCTCCAGTTCTCAGCAATACCTGACTGTGTTTAGGGTGAGACTGCTGCCACCAAAGTACTTGCCTCCCCACATGCCCTGGGAGCTGCATATCGGCTTCTGTGTCACTCACAGCCTCAGTGCATTTCTGAGAGCTAGTGCTTTACACACTCCCAAAGAAAACTGAGAACCACAGCCTTTGGCAGTGATATGTGAGCAACAGGGACAGAAGGCACTCAGAAAGGATAAATGAAAAATGCTGGGATGGGGCTGGGGCCATAGCCCAGTGGTAGAGCACATGGTTAGCATGCATAGAGCTCTGGGTTCCATCCTCAGGATCCAGGGAATGAAAGGAAGAAAGAAAGAAAGAAAGAAAGAAAGAAGGGGAAATCTCTGGGTGTCCACAAATCATTTTAGCCAAGTTTGAAATCTTAGTTCTCAAAGAATGGAAAAACTGAAAATTTAGAACTTTCAATTGAGTGATAACACAGAAGCTGGAATTTGCAATATTAATTTAAAGGCAGACAATTCACAATGCTGTTTGTACAACTATAAAACCAAGACTAGAGAATGGAGATGTCGCTCAGTGCTACAGCACTGGCCTAGGAGTGAGAGGCCTACATTCCAGCCCCAGCAGCAGGGGGAAAAAAGACAAATGTAAACATTCAGTCCAAACCAAACTACAAAATCAGTTATATGCCAATTAATATTATTGGTTTGGTATGACAGTTTCTGTTCTGATAAATTAACTTGCACATGCTGTGTTTTATAAAGCAAGGCTCTGAAGCCTCAGGCCCAGCACTTTATTTAAACAGGTTTATGTGGTCTGCTGACCGGAAGAGTATACACAGCTCCATCTGCACAATGGTGTTAATCATTTCAAGGCTTTGTTTGCCAGCTCAAGATAATCTGACCACAAGCTTGACCTACATCCTGCCAGGGGGCAGCCTTCAATGCTAACCTAACCTGGTTCATTCATTCTCTGTGAAGCAGTCAGGTTCACTCGAACATCAAGTCAACATTGCAGCATTATTGAAATCTGCACCTAACAAGAATCTAATCCAATTATCACCAGAATTGGCTACAGAAAATTCCTTCACGGCACATTTACTACAACACTCACCCATAATGAACTGTTGCCAAGCTGGTGCGCTGGGGGAAGAGCTCCACACAGAACACGGGCACATTCTGCCAACACGGTCTCCTGGGTAACCAAAGCCTCCCATGCAAGGATTTAACCTCCTGCAGAACAGAAATATCCAGAAGAAAATTAAATCTGCAATAAAAAGGGACAGATCTTTTTCTTGTCATTGTTCCCTAAACAATCAAGCATAATAACTATTTGCATAGCATTTACGTTGTTTTAGGACGTACAAGTCATCTGAAGATGATGAGGGTTAAGGACGACTCAAAGGAGCAGCAACCTAGATCCCCGCATGCGCAGTTCACAGTAGGGTTCACACTCCTATGAGAATCCAGTGCCTCCCAGGCTCCGGCTGTCATGGGGGACAGAGGCCTCTGTCAACACAAAGTTCCTCTTGCTCTCTGCCAGTTCCTAACCAGTTTATGGGCCCAGGGTTGGGGACCACTGGGTTGGGTAACTCGCTAGTAAAATAGGGAGCCAGGATTTGAACACAAGAGCTCTAGCACTCTGACTCTATGGCCACAATCTCAACCACTTACAATATTCAAATCAAGTCCCTTACATAAAGGGGCATAGTATTTACATGTAACCCACACACATCCGCCCGAGTACTTAAGTCAATCTCGAGATTATAATGCCTAAGGCACTGTAAATACTATGTGCTTAGTTGTTACACTGTATTATTTAAGGGATGGCAAGGAAAGAAGTCTTTAATGTTAATACAGGCTCTTTTTTAAAACACATTTTTCTTGAGGCTAGGTCTCATCCAGACTGGTGTGAAACTTGTGATCCTACTGTCTCAGCCTCCCAATGTTCGGGATTATAGATATCAGTCCCCACTTCTGATTTAAACAAGTATTTCTGACCTTGAATTTGGAACCTGTGCCCTTGGAGGGCCGAGGCGTAGAAGAGCACCCAACACATAGGAAGCACCCACTGACAGCTCCCTGCTGCCGCAGCTTGACCTCACTTGCCATGGACTCAGACATGGGTCCTGGTGACCTTTTCGGGTCATTCCCTGTCCCCTAACCCCTACTCCTGACCGCGTGGGACTGACCAGCACCCCTGTCCAGGGGTGAGGTGCCGTGTCAGTCTGGGTCAACATGAATTGCATTCATGTGTTGGTCTCCACCATCAGAGGTGAATTCTGGCCAATCTGTGTCACCCCGTGTCTGGCACAACCTCCAGCAAATCATTTTCAGTAAATTCAGAAAGAAGGAGGGAGAGAAGGAGGGAGGGAGGGCGAGAGGGACAGAGGGAGGGACTCCGCTCTCCAGCCTTTCCAAGTAGGTTTCTATTTTGGTGAGAAGCCAAACCATACAAACAAAGCACCTATCAGAATTCATCAGGATTTAGAGCCGGAGCCAGGAATCACCCTGGTGGTGAAGTGTTTAGACCCAGATTTCCTGGCACCCAGCTGTTGAACCTTTCCCAGCACCCCAGTGGCAACAAGGCTGCTCTGTGACTGGAAAGCTTGGCATTTGCACGCTGGGAGCCAAAAGACGTGGGGCACACAGCAGGTGAAGCAGAGACGCCATCTGCCCATGGAGGTCAGCTGAGGGCCACCAGACCTGTCCTACATGTGCAGCTGGCCATGTCGCCTCTCAGCCACACCTTCAGCGCCTTCATCAAAGCCACCACCGAAGCATCTGCAGAGATGTTTCTCTGGTTATCACTGATTGTTTCTAATCTACCAAAGTCAACTAATAATAAAATGCATGACATTCATGACTTACCAGCCATAAAGCCAAACAATGGAGCAGACCACTTGCTTAATAATTTTATGACAGAATGTACATGTGACCTTGCAGCTTGGTGCTGGTTACATTTCTATTTACATGGAGACGAGGGACAATTAGAACATTTATCTCACTTAGTCACTGGTCACTCCTGCCCCCAACCTTCCCCTCCCTCTTCCCAAAAGAAATGAAAAAAACGTTTTCATTGTAGACCAATATCTGTGAGTGAAAGCAGCTATTTTTAAAAAGTGATGTCATGGGGCCTAGAATGCCACATTGTTCTGGCTTTGGAAAACACCCAATGGGCCTTTGGCTGTTGCTGGTGGGTCCGTGTTAAATGAACACTAATCAACCTCCTCCCCCTCAGCTCAGTGTGGCTACTTATGGTTAGAACTACTATTTGACATCTAGGAAAGCTTCCATACATTTATATTTTTCATACCCTTTAAATAACGTAGGTTTTGGGGCTGGGGATTTAGCTCAGTGGTTCTGGCGCCTGCCTCCCAAGTGCAAGGTCCCAAGTTCAATCTCCGGTACCAAAAATAAATAAATAAATAAAATTTAGGGGCCAGGGACTTAGCTCAGTGGTTTCGCTGCCTGCTGCGCAAGCGCAAGGATCCAAGTTCCATCCCCGGTACCAAAATAAATAAATAAAATTTAGGGGCCAGGGACTTAGCTCAGTGGTTTCGCTGCCTGCTGCGCAAGCGCAAGGATCCAAGTTCCATCCCCGGTACCAAAATAAATAAATAAATAAATAATGATGTAGGTTTTCACACACTGCACAGGATATGCATATAACCGTCCTAGTAACGCTTTAGAGGAGTCCAAATTGCCACCTCTTTTAACTCCAACCCAGAAAAATTGCTTTCGTGATATAGGCATTTACTATACAGATGGTCTCCAACTTGGTAACGGTTGAACTTGTGATTTTTCAACTTTATGCTGGTGTAGAATTGAGAGGAATTCGGTAGAAATTGTACTAATCATAGAGCATCTCTATTTATGTATTTAAGCACTGTTTATTTGTTCTACAAAGCCTGAATAAATCCTCAACGCTGAATTGCTTTCTATGAGGTACCCCCTCCCCAGGAATAGAAATAGGAATGGAATAGCTTTTTTGACTTTTTGTAAGAGGAAATAAAAATAATAATCTCCCCCACAAAAAAAATCATGTAGCAACAAATATTTGTGACCTCCCTGTATAGAATGGGAAATTGTCACATTCGCAAACAGTGTGAGAATCAGTTGCTCTTTTGTAAGAATAGTATTTTACACGAGAAAAATAAATAAACTTCACATGTAATCTTTTTTTTTTTTTTTTTTTGGTACCAGGGATCGAACTCGGGTCCTTGCGCTTGCACAGCAGGCGGTGAAACCACTGAGCTAAATCCCCGGCCCCTCCTCACATGTAATCTTAGCTGAGAAAATAATCTCGGTGTCTCTCACATGCCCGAGGCCCAAATGCCGCATTTAACAAGGGGCAAGCCCTCTGTGTTCCTGCGACTCCTGTGATGTGTGTGCTACGGGCATGAACTATGGATGCACTGAATTCATTCTTGGCCCGCAGGAAGCATTGGGTATAGTTATAGCCCAGGTTGAACTTGTCTTTCTGGGCCTCCCTGTGTTACCCTGAGAAGCCTGCTCCCCTCCAGAACCTCCTCCCACTATGTCTTAGTCACTTTCCCATCACTGAGATACAACACCTGACACCCACAATTTAAAGGAGGAGAGTCTTAATTGGTTCATGGTTTTGGGGAATTCAGTTCATGGTTGGCTGGCTCCAAGGCAGAAGCAGCATGGTGGAAGGGCCTGCCGGAGAACAGCTGTTTACCTCATGGCAGCTAGGAAGCAGGGAGAGAAGAGAGAAGCCAGAGAAGGAGACACACCCTTCCGAGTCACACTTCTAGACACACCAGGCCCTACATCCTAAGAGCACATTCAGCCATGAACTCATCACTGAATTAATCTACTAATGAGTTAGCACCCCATGATCCAATCACCTTCTGAAAGCCCTGCCTCTGAGCACAGGAGACTTTGGGGGGATGTTCTAGATCTAAACTATAACAGTCAGCAAATGGAGCCTTTCTGCTCCCAATTCCCTATGGCCCTCCCGAGCCATCAACAGGTTCTAGTTTTTTTAACCCCTGTTACCAGTTCACTTCTTTTCATCTGGTTCCATCCAGTAAGTGTTCTGTTATGGACTGAATGTTTGTATCCCCTCTAAAGTTGGCGTTGAAGTCCTAACCCACCATGTGGCAGTACTGTAAGGTAAGGAAGTGATGGAGATGGAGCCATTCATGAGTGGCATGAACACCCTTGTGAAAGAGACCCCAGGTGGCTCTGTAGCTCTGTTTCTGCCAGACAAAAGCACAGCAAGAAGATGCTCTTTTAAGAAATACATGCCCCAGGGCCGGGGATTGAGCTCAGTGGTTCTGCCGCCTGCCTTGCAAGCACAAAGTCCCAAGTTCGATCCCTGGTACCAAAAGTGAAAGAAATACATGCACCAATAAGTGGACCCTCTCGGGGTATCAAATCTGCTTGTGCCTCGCCCTTGGGATTCCTCGCCTATGAAAAGTACACCTCCGCTCTTCATGAGGTCTCAGTCTGTGGTATTCCATCACAGCAGCCCAAACTCATTATAACTGGTCTCTCTGCCTCTCGCCCTGCCCTTGACTGATCCATTCTTCATGCTGTAGCAAGAGTGATCATCCAAGATGCGAATCGAATCATGTGATTTCCCTGAGGGCCTTGCATTGCCCTCGGGCTGGAGTCCAAGAACCTAATTGGATTGCAAAGCCATTTAGGCTATAAACTTGGCTTTCCTCTCTAGAGTCAACTCCAGCTTCACATTACTTTCAGTTTCCAGAAACTGCTTTTCTTTTTTTTAGCCCAAATGCAGTCTTCTAAATCTCCTTACCTAGCCAACCGTCTGTCTTCTCTGTGTCCTGGATGGCATGCCTTCAGGAAATCTGCCTGACTGCTTCCCCCAGATAGTCTAGTTGATAGCATTCTAGAACCACGAGGACTTAGCAAACTCACAACAGTCACACAGTTTATTTCTGCTTATTTCTCCTCTCCTTTACTCCAGAAAGTCCACCAAGAATGGGTAGATGTACAAGTGAGCCACAAATAAACAGCTGCGCTTTATCCTAAGAGGTCTATGGCACTGTCAGCAATTCTTACAGTAATTGGGTGATGTTTTCCAGCCTCTCCCTGACACACAGTGTGATGAACACGTGGAAAATTGGGAGCACTGAGTTCAAGTCCTGTCCTTGCCATTAAAGTTAACAGCAACTCTAGCTTTGTAGTCCTTCATTGCTTTATTTGCTATTCCAGAATCAGGCACTGTGGAGCAAAAATGGTTGAGAATACTCAACCCTACCATATGGATAGATTATATTTATAGCCAAGAAAAGTAATGTACAGAAAACCAGAAAGGAGGTACAGAGACAGCCTGATTGATTATAGCTCTTGTCTGTCTTGTTTAAACATGGTTTGAATAGCTGACCCCTTTGCGATTGGCTGGGACTCAGCTTGTTAAAAAAGGAGGTTA